AACACTATGTGATTTCCTAACAAAAAAAGAAAAGATAAAATTTCTGACTCTTTGAATGTCTGAAATTGTGCCCTCTCACTTGATTCTTCAGTTATAAGAAGAAATCAAGAGGATTTCCGAGTTCTTCAGAAATGTGAAAATAATTCCTTGTTTTTCAGAATTCAGTGCTGAATCTCACTCCACTAATGTAATTTATTTTTGTTCTGATTTGTGTTTGGTATGTATATTTATAGGATTTTTCTTTACTGGTATTTCAAAAATATAAAAATTTTCTCTTTTCTTTCTCTAAACTCCAATTAGCATACTTTTAGAACTCCTTAACTGATCCTTTCAATTTTTTGTCTTTTCTTTCCTATTTTTCTGTCTCTATCTTTCTGATCAATTTAGTTAGAGAACTGTCCAAATATATATAACAGTTTATATTTCAGTTATGTATGCATGAAGAAGAACTGTATAAATGAATAGGGTAAATGGATAAAGATGTAGGCATCTCATACAACCAATGACCACTAAAAACAGAAAATTAATTAATAGATAACAAAAAATTAATATGGGCTAAGGGGAAAACAATATGGAGTGAATAGATGATCAGACACTGTAAGTATTATAGGTGATGTTATAGAACATAATATATGTGGAAAATTGACTGGAAAAACAACATGCTTTGTAAATTTTCACTCAAGTCGTGGAAAGAAAAAAATAATAGAGATGCTAAAAAAAAATACTATCACAAAATATGTCTTCCATCTCATACCTAGAGGAATAGGCAGCATCACTGGTGTATTATGAACATGACAGGAGAAGCAGGCTACCCTCTCCACTTGTAGACCAAGATGAATCCATTTTTAGGCTCATATGTCATCCCTCAGCTGTACAGTACTTCCATATCAGGAGTCTGCCGACGGCTCTGCCAAACAAGTCTCCTTAACACCCCTACCTTGCCAATTCTACTACATGGTCAAACTGCTCATTCTCTCAAATTTTTAAAATTTGTTGACATTTTTATCTACAGATGAAATCTCCTATATTTTGTACTTTCATTTTTATTCTGAAATGTTTTCTTTATATTTGAGGTTTGAAAAGTGAAAGAAAATACATGCATATTGTAATCTCCTATCTTTGCTAAACTCTTTTTTTACCCACTCAGATTTTCACTCCACGTTTCTTTGATATGTAGTAACTGACCAATATTTCTCACTTATGCTGATATAAAAAAAGGAGAAAACAAAAGTAAAATATATATATAAGGGGGAGGGAACTGCCAAAACCAACACTAGTTGGAAGCTCAAACACAAAAGTAAAAGGTACATGGGAATGAGGAACAAGCAAGTACTATGTTGCTGACAAAAGTCCAGTATCACTAATGCCTAACCTTAGATCTATGAAACTGAAGAAAATTAAGAGAGGCTACAAGAAGACCTGACGATAGAAGGTCTGTGTGACCTCCATATTATTTCTGTTTATTTGTTTTGGTGTGCCTGTTAGGTGGGCTTCCACCCAGTGCTTTCTCTACTCCCTTCTTTCCAGTAAATTCCCCTAGCCCATCACCTCCCCTCACAGCTTTGGCGTAAGCATAGCGAAGCATGTGGTAGAACAAGCAAATCAGGTGCTACCAATCATATGCCTTAATTCCCTGAACGTTTTCATTGGCTCTTCAAGCTTTGTCTCATAGTCCTTTTCCAAATATCCTGATTCCTAGCTATAGGAAAACAAACTTTTCTACCTCAAGGGTGCTGGAAAATGTGAGATGGGTTCTTCTAGCCTAAAAGTCCATGTGCTGAAGGGACCACAGCCACAAAGACAGAAACAAAAGTGAAAGAGACAGTAAAGGAAAAAATTAAATAGCACAGAATCATCATCTGAGATTGTGACTCCCAAAGCTTTCTGCTGCCATGGTTTAAAATATCAAATTTTCTTTCATTCTTAGTTCCATTTTTGTGAAACTTAAGACCAACAATTTCTTGTTATTACATGCCCTTGTGTCGACTATGACTCATACTGATCCTAGGAACAATGGCTCTGAACTGTGCCCGATCCTGAGCCAACCTCACTATCTTTGACACACTTTGCCACTGTCACTGTGGCTCATCCAGGGTCTTCCTCTCCTGCACTGACCCTCCATTCTTTCAAGTATGATGTTTTTCTCCAAGTAACAACTACAATCTACAAAGTAAAATATCATAAACTCCAGAAAGTTTAAGAATGCAGCGTCAGATATATAGAAATGTATCAGTAAGCAGAATTTAAGAAAACAGCTAAGAAATAATGTAATTTTGCCAGCATCTGCTCCAGAAATGTAAAGATGGTTTGATGTTAGGAAATTTATTAATATATCAATAATTCAAAAGAAAAAAGTATTCTTTCAGTAGCTAATCAAGTATGCAAATTAGTATTTTTATGAATGCCAATAAAAACCAGTAAAAAATGTAATATACACTTAATACTTTTTCACCTGAAGCACCCATTTTAAAAATATAATAAAAGCAATAAAAATATAAAATACTTAGAAATAAATGTAACAAAGAACAGAAATTATCTCTAAGACTAGATCTTTAAATTATGAGCCCTATTTAAAGAGAAATATGTGTGTATATATATATATATATGGAGTTCTGGTGGCCAAGTGGCAAGAAGCTACGCTGCAATCACAAAGGCACACGGTTCGAGGCCACCAGCTGCTCCTTGGGAGAAGGATGAATAATCTCTTCCCCTGTGATTAACTGCCTCTGAAAAACCCGCTGGATTGTCAGCTATGGATCGGTTCCAACTCTTTTGTACATAACAACAACAACTTTACATATATATAAAGAGACATACTATGTTCTTCTACAGGAAGACTTTAATAAGGATGTTCATTTTCCTCATTATATATTTGAAAGTTTATTGCTATCCCAATCACAATTCCAAAAGACATTTTTCATTTTTTTAAAGTTTTGTACCTTTACAAAATGATCTCAAATTCATCTATAATGGTAAATGAATAAAAATAACCCAAGAAACTATTAAAGAATAATAAAGGAGGATTTTACTAATAGATATTAAATATATAAACTCATCAAAATTAAAGAAATACTAACACATGATTTCTAAACAGATTAATAAGCATTTAAGAAAAAAAACAACTTAAGTCCAAGTACACATAAAAATTAGAATAAAGAATTTAGATGAAACTTAAAATTGGAAGTTTATAACAGATTATTAAAAAATAAGTCATTCTAAAAAAATAGAAGTTGGTATATAATGATCATATTTAGTAAATAAATAATTTTAAAAAGAATACATTCCAACGTCATAGTCCAAGTATTCCTAATGGATTTCAAAGACAGGTAAAATGAGTAACAAAAAATATACTGAAAACAAGGAAATGACCACCACAGATCCCTAATACTTGATAATTATGCTCAAAAATCTTTCAAAATATGAAATAAAATTTAAAAATAAAGTAAATACTAGCTTATAAGTACATAAAAATACAAACACCTTACATGCCAAGATATACTAAAAGCTTAATTAAAAAGCAGTCAAAAATATTATACATGTTATATACAACATAAGTAAAGTTCTTAAAGTAAATTAAAATCCTTAAGAAAATCATCTTACTCTTAAAATAGACAAAGAATATCAACAAGAAAATCACAAAATACATACACAGAGACAAAACTAATCTATCACTAACAATAAAATTTAAAATGTAAGAAAGGAAATTACAAAAAAAGGCTTTACATATACAGCTAATTCTGGCAACAGTATAAAGAAGTGAAAACACTTATGTACAATTGGTAAAAGACAAAAAAGTAAAAATACCTTAAGTGCCATTTGGCAAACATTCACCTTTAAAAGTAGACACGCCACTCTAAAAATATACCTTTGGAAAACAATCTAAAAATGTTCTAAAATTTGTATTAAAATAGCTTTGCTATGTTTGCTAGCATTGCTTATAAAAACTGTAGTGGTCAAGTTTTTTTGTTGTAAAATGTGGTATAAGAATAAAAGTGTTTTAAAAAAAAGAATAAAAATGTTTAAAAAAATTTTTTAAAAATTAAAAAAAAAAAAGAATAAAAGTGTTTCTGTTTGGAAAAAAGGAACCATGCTGGAAACAGACATAATTTGAAAGTTCACATGCCTTTTTCAAAGGCCACATTAATTGTGTTCTACCTTCCTTCCTCTATTTCTCTGAGCTTTTTTCTTCTACTTCCTCAACAATTTTGCTCTTTCATAATACCTCTACCCCTCCCCCAACTCCTCTTGTACTCTTCCCAAGCTTTATTTTCAACTTAGACTAACTTATAGTTCTAGTTGTAAGTTTCATCTGCTGTTGTTGTTGATTGCCATCGAGTAGAGCACAACTCATAGAGACACTACGAATAAAAGACCTAATGCCTTCCTATAACTATATCGTCGCTACTCCAAGTTCATAGAGTTTCCATAGGCATGTGTTTTAGGAAGTGGATGCTACTCTTTAGTTTCATCTAAGTGCTATAAGAAATTATATTTCTCAAGTTTTGATATATAGAATTTTTATTACTTCTGTTTTAATATTTTCTCTTACTGACCTAGGAAGTTTTATATTTTTGAAAAAAGAATCTTGTGCCGCTTATCTTATATAAAACTACCAAAACTAAGTCATGAATTGGCAAATGTGATATATACAACTATGGCAAAGGGAGCCAGGGGAGTAGGAAAAGCAGTGTGCCATTTCTGATTACATACATATATATGTATACACACAAAATCCTGGAAATCATCTAAGTAACCCAATTAACCAGAAGATGTTTAAGATGTTGTAGGACATTAATAGTGGAAAAACATACATGCATTATATTGAAAAACATAAAACACTGGTAAAAGATGCTCAATGGAAAAGTTTGGATGGGAGAATTCTAATTGTATCTCTACAACAATATGCATTTATTTTATAATAAGAAAGAGAAGTCATAAAGTTTCCATAATTCTTAAAACTCATATTTAGGATGTTTGTAAATAGAAAGCATTTTGGTTACCTTTCCAAATTCACATTTTGTGCCTTCGTTCACCATCCCAGGATCTGGAACATCAGATCCTAGCTGAAAATCCACACCCCAACATGTAGTGCCTCTCTGGTGGGTCTGAATAATAGCAGGCACAACTCCAAATACAGACATGCCTTGTACATTCTCACATTGAAGCTTTCCACACAAAGCATTCCTATAAAGATGGAAAGACAATGAAAACATAAAATATATCCATTGTATAATTTACACAAACAATAATAAGTATGTGTAAAAGACCACATATACATATATATATCCCTGGCACAACAGTTAAGATGCCAACTAAAGGTAAACAGTTCAGACCCAAGAGTTTCTCCAAACAAGAAAGATGTGTCAGTAAACTTCTGTAAAGATTGACAGCCTTGGAAATCTCATGGGGCAGTTCTACTCTGTCCTGCAAGGTCATTATGAGTCTTAATCACGTTGCAGAAAATGGACCAAGTATATGTATGTATATGTGTGTATGACAGATACAGAGGTCATGTATATGAGATATTTGTGCTAATCTATACTAGACCACGAGGCAGCATGGTTTAAAATCAAGAAAGGTATATAAAGCTGTATCCTTTCTCTATCCCTTTTCTTACTGTATGCTAAGAAAATCATTCAAGAAACTGGACTTTATGAAAAAGAATGTGGCAACAGAATCTGAGGAAGACTAATCAACAAACTGAGTTATACAAGCAACACAATTTTGCTTGCTGAAAGTGAGGGAGGCCTGAGGTGCTTATTGCAGAAGATCAAAGACTATAGCTTTCAATATGCATTATATTTCCACATTAAAACACACACACACACATACACACACACACACACAACTCCTCACCACTGAACCAACAGGTAGTATCATGATAAATGGAGGAAAGATTGACGTGGTTAACAATTTCATATTGCTTAGATCCACAATCAACATCCTTGGAAAGAGTCATCAAGAAATCAAAAACATGTTGCAGTGGGGAAGTCTGCTGTCAAGGACCTCTCCAAGGCACTGAGGGGCAGACATCAGTTTAAAGACTAAGCTGGGTGTGATTCAAACCATGTTCTGTTCAATTACCTACTATGCATTTGATAGCTGAAAAAATGACTAAGTGTGAAAGAAAAAAAAATAAATTTGATTGTGGTGTTGCAGAAGAATAGTAAATATCACATGGACTGCAAAAAGAATAAATATGTCTTACAGAAAGTGTAGCCAGAGTATTACTTAGTGACAAGGATGATGAAACTTCATCTCACATATTTTGGGCATACTATTACAAGAGGTCTGTCCTTGGAAAAAGATACCATGCTTGGAAAGGTGAAGGTCAGTGAAAAAGTGGAAAACCCTCAGATTGATACTATAGCTGTAGCAATATATATCTGACTCAAGTATATCAGAAAGGATAAGGATGCACAGGATAGAGCATGATTCAACAGAGTTGCTATGAGTTGTGGTTGGATGAATAGCACCTAACAACAACACATGGAAACCTGTGGCTTAGAGCTAAGGAGTTGTGCTGCCAACCCAAAAGTATATGGATCACATCCACAAATTCAGCCGCTCCACTGGATAAAGACAGGCAAGCTCCTTCTGTGTGGTTTCCTGTCTGAAAACTCACTGGACGGTGAGCTATGTATGAGACAGTTCCAACTCAACAATACATAACTATATATATAAACAGAGATAGATTGCCCATCTGGTCCCCTTTGAGGCTGTGGTGGATCTGAACTGACAAAGATGTACAGTCTTGATTAGCCATGCAGCAAGTTATGTATTCTGTCACTAGAACTCTTTATGATATGTGTATAGACACACATGCATATATATATGCATGTGTGTGCACAACACAAATTGAAAGTCCAACTTTATTTAGATTAAGAGAATCCCTGTACAGAATGTATATAAGAGCAAAATTAATAAAAAGATGGAGTGCTTTAAATATGGCAGAAAAGGAAAGCTACAAGGTGACATCAAGGTAGCCAAATGAATAGAAAAGATCTTATTTGTGCCCACTCTTAAAATTTTAAAACAGACAAAAAAAATGTGGAAATTACTGAGCAATATCATGAATATCACATTGAAGTAAAATTCTGAAAATAATTTTTAAAGAGTTTACAGTAGTACATCAAAGGAATAGAATAGAAATTCAAGCCAAATTCTGAAAAGAACATAGAATGGAGAGTATCACTGCTGATAACAGATGGAGCTTCATGGAAAATAAAGAACAGCAGAAAGGTGTTTACTTGTGTTTTATTTGCATTTGATTGTGTGGATCACAACAAATTATGAATAACATTGTAAAGAATGGAAATTAGAGCATTGGGGCTTCGTCTGACATACTTTGGACATGTTGCCAGGAGGGATGGGTCCTTGGAGAGGGACATCATGCTTGGGAGGGTGGAGGGACAGCGCAGGAGGGGAAGACCCTCTATGAGATGGATTGATTCGGTGACTGGGGTAATCGGGATGGGTGTGTCAGAGGCAGTGCGGTTGGCGCAGGATAGAGCAGGGTTTAGGGCTATTGTGCATAGGGTCACTATGAGTCGCAAACAACTCGACGGCACATAACAACAACAACAACAACAATTGTAGTCATAAGGAATCTGTATATAGTCCAAGAAACAGTTACATGGCCTACACAAACGGATACTGAATGGGGGCAGGGAGCTTAAATTGTAATTTTAATGAAAGTTTACAGAAAAAGTTGGATATTTTTTCATTCATTCATTCATTCATTCTTGCACATTTTTACCAACCCCAGTTCACATTTTAAAAAAAATGCATTCATTGTTGCATAATTATAAAATTAATAATTTTTTTATTAAAACCAGAGGTGTTGTATATTTTCTCCATATTTACTGAATCTGCATGCTGTGTAATTAATGTGAGAAACTGGATTATAGGAAGAATGCTGCAGCATCAAGATTGGAGGAAGGCTCATTAACAGCCTGTGATAAGAAGAACACACATCCTCGCTTGCTGGCTTAGGCCGGATTCTCTAAAGAAGTAAAACCAGGGAAGCTTCTAGAGAAAGAGTAAGAGATGTATTTCAAAGGAATGGTTCATGTGCTTATGGAGGCTAGCAAGTTCTAGATCTGTGACTCAGATCTCAGAAGAGAGGCATCTGGGGAGGCTAACAAGGCCAAGTCATTGGCACGCGGGGTCACAAACTGTGGACTTCAGAAACTGCCAGCTTTGGAGGCTGAGAAAGCCAAAGTCAAGTCCAGAGGTCATGAACCAGGATGCCATATGCAGAAATGGACAAAAAGGTCTCATCTTTTGGCAGAGTCCATATATATAATCACAGTGATCTTCCATACTACTTCTTTTCCATATAACCTTGCCAATTGCCTTTTTTTTCTCTCTTTGAAAAATAAGTTTGGTATCTGTGTTGGGTTTTTGTTAAATATGTAGGTTATTTTTGATAGGATTGTCATTTTCACTATGTTGAGTCTTGCTCTCCATGAACAGAGAATATTTTTCCATTTAGTTAGGTCTCTTATTGTTTCTTGCAGTAGAGTTTTGTAGTATTCTTTATTTTGCCAGCCTTTTGATTAGCAGCCCAGTACACTACACACTACACCACCACCAGGGCTCCTCCGAATCATCCATATTAATATGAGAGGTCAGGATCTACAATATCTAAAACAGTTTCATTGTACTGAAGATCATAACCACACAGACACATAATATTAACTATTATCATTCCTAAATGTAAAAAGGACTAAGGACTTAATGAAGGTCAAAGGCTGTAGCCCTCAATAGGGATTATACACAACCATAACACAAAAATCCTCACAGCTGGACAAATGAACAATATCATGATATACAGAGAAAAGACAAATACTGTCAAGGTCTTTTTTATTTTTAATTTTGTGGGTTTTTTAAAATTTTTTTTTAATTTAAACTAGTTTATTTACAGAATTGGAATACATTGTTTTTCAGACCAGATTCTTCCAACTTCCCTCACCCATCAAATTGTACAAATTTCCCCCTCTCCCCTTGGAGTTTCATACTCATCCTACAATAATAGTTTTATACAGTATTTGTCCTTGTGGGACTGAGTGTTATTTCACCCAGCATAATATTCTCCAGTCCCTCTCAGGTTAAGTAATAATTTACAAAATCACTGCTCTTTGTGCTGCATAGTATTCCAATGTATAAATGTACCATAATTTGAAAAAGAATTTAATTTTACATAAATCTACGATCAATGCCTACAGTAAGATCAACAAATCAAAAGAAATCAGTATAAGATTTAAAAAATAAGGTTATAACAAGTGAAAATAAAGAAATTAAACTCATAACAATAAAAAAATTTAAAAATGTTTAAAAAAGAATCAAAATAAATGTTGCCCATAGCAAGAACATGAAAGCAGCCCAAATGTCCAACCACATGGAATGGATTGAGAAATTATGGTACATTCACAAAATGGAATACTATGCAGCACACAAGAGCAATGATTTTTTTTTCAATTACTACCTAACTTTGGCAGGGCTGCATTATGTTAAGTGAACTAACCCAGTCTTATAAAGACAAATACTATATAGGATCATTATTAAAGAATAAGTATGAGGATCCAAGGCAGGGAGTTGTGGGGAAGACATGTTGCATTGAGCAAACATGCTGCAAAAGGTCTCTTTAAAGTGTTAAATAAAAGGCAACACTTTGAGAACTTATGTACACTTGACTCAAAACATGGTATCTTCAATTTATTCCTATGCATGCAAAAGTTGGACAATGAATAACGAAGGAAGAGATGGATGCATGTGAATTATAGGGTTAGCAGAGAATACGGAATATGTCATAATCCATCAGAAAAACATTGAGTTTTGTCATGGAGGTGGAACAGCTAGAACGCTCCTGGAAATGAAGATAGCAAGAGTCTGTCTCAAATACTTTGGGTACACTTTCCGGAGGAGCCAGTCCCTAGAGAAGGATATCATACTGGTACAATAGAGGATCAGCAATATAAGAGGAAGATCTTCAATGCTTCAGTGAGACTGACTGACATTGTGGTTGCAACACCGACTTAAACATAGAAATTACTGCAGAGATGGTCCAGGACCAGACAACATTTTTTTATTATACACAGGGTTTTATAGTGAATTGAAATCAACTTAATGGTACCAAACAACAACTCCTCTTCAATGATCTATCCAGGGCTAAAAAAAGT